GTTACACTGGGTCTCAGATTGTTCTCAGTATTGAGAAGAAGCACAAAACAGATGCTGAATATTCAGTCACAGAGGCACCTCAAGGTAGAGCTGAGGAAAGAAATGATCAGAGTGAATCTTGTCCAAGTATCCTGAAGTAAGTTGCTCATAATACCTGCCTTTTTAATGGAAGATACTTGGTTTATGGTGTTCGGGCTTAAAGGGAAGAAATGAATCTTTGAAAGTTAAAGGAATGAGTATTTCTTTCAATTAGAGAAATAAGCATTCTGAAGTGCTTTAACAATTCATTACAAATTATATTTTTTCTATGTTCATCTAACTCAAATCTTCTCAGAGAGCAGTTAATTCTTTCTGATAAATTCCTATATTATGTTAACTTATTTTCTATATCAGGAGAAGTTGAACTAATCCTTTCATCCTTTTTTACATATGAAGCAATACTAGGAGTAATATATCTTTGGATACCAAGGCAAAAGCCTACGTAGCTTGAGGAGTCCTCTGTGAGAATGGTAAATTATTCTAATCATCTGAATAAATAAAAACTAGCATGTTCAGGCATTCATTGAACATTTTACTGAGCTTCTACTATGTCCCAAAAATGGTTTTAAAAAAATGCTTTATCAATATGAAACCTGCTTGTTTTTGTTTTTAAAAAACTGAGTCAAATGAAAAGCAAGTTCTTTGTCTCTAAAAATGAGTTGTAATTTTAGCTGCTGCATTTTTGTCAATAGAATGCCAAGTGAAGCAGAGAGTCCTGAAGTAAGAGAAATCAATGATGAGATTATTTCCATCACTCATAACACTGAAAAAGAATTTATAGATACCAATGAGGATCTTTTAGAGGCAGAAACATTTACACGGGAGGGAATGGATATGCACCTATCAGACTATGAAGGTCAGTTCATTTAGGTAATTTTTTTCTTTGGCTTTATTAATTTGAGATTGGTAAATGAAATTATCCGAGATAACTGTGTAGTTTTATTTTTAAGTTAGTATATTTGCAATAGCTGAAACCAAAAATTAATCTAAGGTATTTTTGTGTTGGTAGCTCTTTTAAAAATACTGGGCCTCTTGCCCTGGTTATGTACTAAGTATAGCCACTTAATTTCTGTTAATCAACTCTATAAACATCTCCCTAGTGATCTTCTTTAAAATACAAATTCTCAGAATTTTCCATTGAGTAGTTATACATACTGATAATGAGGTTGTTTTCAGGGGTCATATGAGATTTACTTAAAGAAGAGGGGATATTTTCTCCTTTGTAAGAAAGAAAATATTTCTGTCATTTTATTTCTTTCCTGTAATATTTCTTGAACCTTTTAAAAAGTCAGTAGATTGTTTTTAAATGGTCAGTTTTCTTTTTTTCCTTTTTGTTTCTTACTAGAAGACACCAAAGAACCTGTTGGAGGTCTCAAAAGTCCCAATATTGCCATTTGCACGCTGACCTTACCACAGCAGTTAGAAGTAAGTCAATAAACAGTGGGTAGAATTATTCAACTTTTATTCTGTTTAGTACTTAAGTTATATGTAAGTGTTTTTATTCATTATTATTAAATATAACACAGCAAGCCAGGTGTGGTAGCTCATGCCTGTAATTCCAGCACTTTGGGAGGCCAAGGTGGGTGGATTGCCTGAGCTCAGGAGTTCAAGACCAGTCAGAGCAAGAGTGAGACCCATCTCTAAAAAATAGCCAGGCATTGTGGTGGGCACCTATGGTCCCAGCTACTTGGAAGGCTGAGGCAAGAAGATTTCTCTAGCCTGAGAGTTGGAGGTTGCTATGAGATATGACACCACAGCAC